AGCAATATCAATACTGAACCTATATGCACCAAATTCTACAGCATCTAAATCAATAAAAGAAAAATTAAATGATTTACAAGTGGAGATATAGTAGGGGACTTTAATCTTACCTTCTTACAACTAGATAAATCTAATAAAAAATAAATAAGAAAAGTTAAAGAAATGAATAGAGTTTTAGATAAACTTGATACAGTCGATATCTGGAGAGAACTGAATGGAAATAGAAAGGAACGCACCTTTTTCTCTGTGATTTGTGGTACCTTTACAAAGACTGATCATATATTAGTAAATAAAAATATTATAGTTAAAAATAGAAATATTAAAAGTATCCTTATCAGATCACAATGCAATAAAAATATAATGTATTTAGTAAGAGATCAAGGAAACATAAATCAAAAACTAATGGGAGATTAACCAAACTCATCTTAAACTGACTTAATGAGTCGGTCAAATAACAAATCATAGAAATAATAATATCATTAAAGAGAATGACAATCATTCCCCAATTAATAAATGGTCAAAGGATATGAACAGGCAGTTCTCAGATGTAGAAATTAAAGCCATCTATAGTCATATGAAAAAATGCTCTAAATCACTATTGATTAGAGAAATGCAAATCAAAACAACTCTGAGGTACCACATCACACTATCACATTGACCAACATGACAAAACAGGAAAATGATAAATGTTGGAGAAGATGTGGGAAAATTGGAACACTAATGCATTGCTGATGGAGTCATGAAATGATCCAACCATTTTGGAGAGCAATTTGGAACTATGCCCAAAGGGCTATAAAAATGTGCATACCCTTTGACCCAGCAATAGCACTACTAGGTCTGTATCCCAAAGACATCATAAAAAATGGAAAAGGACCCACATATACAAAATTATTTATAGTATCTTTTTTTGTGATGGCCAGGAATTGGAAATTGAGGGGATGCCCATCAATTGGGGAATGGCTGAACAAGTACATGAATGTAATGGAATACTATTGTGCTATATGAAATGATGAGAAGACAGACTTCAGAAAAACCTGGAAAGACTTGTATGGACTGATGCTGAGTGAAGTGAGCAGAACCAAGAGAATGTTGTACACAGTAACAGCCATATTGTGCAATGACTAACACTGATAGACTTAACCCTTCTTAGCAATGCAAGATCTAAGACATCTCCAAAGGTCTCATGATAGAAAATGCTATCCACATCCAAAGAAAGAACTATGGAGTTTGAATGCAGATTGAAGCACGCTATTTGCTATTTTTTTCTTTTGTTTTGTTTCCTCTTTCTTGTGGTTCCTGCTATTGGCTCTAATTTTTCCTTACAACATGACTAATGTGAAAATACGTTTAATAGGAATGTATATGTAAAGCCTGTATCGGATTGTGCACTGTCTTGGGGAGCGGAGGGGTAATTTAAAACTCAAAAGCTCATGAAGTGATTGTTGATAAATCAAAATAAATTAATGAAAAAAATAAAGAGAATGACAATAATGTGATAACATATCAAAACTTATGGGATACAGCAAAAGCAGTGATTGGAGGAAAATTTCTCTCTCTAAATGATTATATCAATAAAATAGAGAAAGAACAAAACAAACTATAAATTTGCAATTAAATACTAAATTGAAAATCCTAAAAATTAAAGGTGAGATTAATAAAATTGAGAGTAAAAAAACTGAATTAATAAACTAGGAGTGATTTTATGAAAAAACAAAGAAAACAGATAAACAACTGGTTAATTTGATAAAAAAAAAGAGAAGAAACCAAATCACTAGTATCAAAAATGAAAAGGGTGAATATACCATTAATGAAGAAAAAATTAAAACAAACTGCCTAGATTATCAGAAGAGGAAATAGAATATCTAAATAAATCCTTTTAGAAAAAGAAATGATATAAATATTAAAAATTTAAAAAATCATGGTTATAGCAATAGGTACAGAAAAAGCTTTTGATAAAGTTCAATACTCATTCTCATTAAAAAATACTTGAAAGTCTTGGTACAAATGGATTTTTCCTTAAATTGATAAAAAGCATTTATCTAAAACCATCAGGAAGTATTATTTGTAATGGGGATAAACTAGAAGTCTTCCCAGTAAAATCATGTGTGAATCAAGGATGCCCACTGTCACCACTATTATTCAGTATTGTATTGGAAATCCTAACAATAGTAATAAGAGAAGAAAAAGAAGGGATCAGAATAGGGAATGAGGTAATAAGCAATTTTACATATATCTATATATCTATCTATCTATATACACTTATTTGTGTTTAATGGTAGCCATCTCTAGGGTGGGGGGAAAGAAGAAAAAAATTTACATGTTAATTTTGTTGTATATTTGAAAGGAATAGCAAGGTATTCATAGTAGATTTACAGTTTCATATTCAATCATCTTTCTTATTCTACTGTGTTATGGAAATGCTTGTTTTATTCCATAAATTAAAGATAAAAAAAGAATAAACTACTGAAAGAGTCTTTTATTTTTTTCATGAAAAGTGTCCATTACATTTCCCAGCTTATAGACAGCTTGATGAGTTAATGATAATATGATAAATCAAAGCTAGAAAGATCTTTACAAACCATCTGGCCCTAACCACTCATTTCACTGAGTGAGAAACTGAGATCCTAAAAATGAAGTGGCTTATCCATTCCTCTTTGCCTAACCAACTATGACTCATCTTCTAAGCCTTTACTCAAGTGTCCTATCTTTAATGCTTTTCCTGGCTATATCAGTCTTTTCCTCCCCTGAGTCACTGCTATCCGTATAGTCATTAACTCATATAGTAGTTAAATGACTGAATATTGGATATAGCTACTAGTATATTGAAAGTCAGATAAAGCATGGGTTGAGGAAAAAGACCAAAGGATTATTTCCCAGGAATGTTTTTCTTCTTCTGAACTTGTGCATGACTAAGATTTTTGTACTGATCTAATCTTTGAGTTTTGTGGATATGATATTCCCCATTGATCCAGATGCGCCTTAAGGATGAAGCCCAGAATCAACCCCATACCCAGTGACAGAGCATATCTCCTTGTGGCAACAAGAGCTAACCTGCTAAGTGATAGACCATCAAAGCATCTCTGGGAAGACCACCTAGTGACATTGTATACATCATATATATATATATATATATATATATATATATAGTTACTTGACTCTCCCATTAGAATGTGACTTCTATGAGAACTGGATCTCTCTTTTTTACTTTTCTTTATATGATAAGCACTTAGTACAGTGCCTGGAAAATACATGGTAAGTGTTCAATAAATGTTCAATGAGTGACATTTTTTTTTTGAGATGCATAAAGAGTCATTGGAGAATTTTATCTTTTCCCATAATTTTACCTTTTCTAATTTGATTCAACTGCTCCATAAGCCACTATATCTAACAATTAAATGTTACTTAAAGAATTATATTACTTGTCATTGAAAGTTAGATAAAAACATACCCATCAAAATACTGAACCACTTTCTAGTGGAGCATGAATTTTGAGATCACTACAAGGGAAAGAGAAGTACTTTACCTTATCCTGTAGCTTATCATCTGAGCATAATTTGAACTTTATTCTCAGGCTGAGAATAAGGAACTTTATTTAAATAGTTCAATTTGAAAATGCTTCATTTTTTATGTCATTATTATGACATGGATTCCATAGCCCATGGGTTTATGACCATTTGGTCAATCTTAAACTTACCTCAAACCTGCCTGTCTCTGTTGATGAAAAGCTTCCCAGTAATCCCATATTTTTCTCACCAATGGTGAAAGAGGAGTTTGTTTGCTATGAATTAAAAAAAAACTTGAAACATGGAACTGGATTACAGAAACAGATATTATTTTAAGACTAATAATAAAAACTAATTCTTACTGCAAGTAGAATAGAGGACAAACATTTAACAGTAGAAAATCTATTATTATAAGTTAAGTGTTAAATCGAACATTGAGGTTGACTAAATAAATTATTTTTGCTCTTAGGACAAAACTTATTACCCTGAAGAGAATCATATGGCTTAGCTGGTATGTGGCAACACATGGTTGAAATTCTGTATTGGTTTGAAAAGAAAACTGGTAAGACACTTGAATTATTAAATAATGAGATTTTGATAACTTTTGTCCAATTACTTTGTACTATAATTTTATAGTTTGATTTTTTTTTAGTATACCATTGCTAGGTTAGTAACAAATGGTTCAGAAATCCTATTTTCTAACTGCTAAATTTACATGCATCATAGTGATTACAAATCTACAATTATAAGAGGATATTAAATATTTTGTTTTGAATTAATTTATTTTGAGATTTCAAAATTAAGGAAATATAGTAGGACACATTCATCTTAAATCACCCAATGATGCAAAGCAGGCAAATAAACAAGGCAAAGATAGATGGAGGCACCAATTTTTAAAAACAAATTTTACAATGCTACTTTGAAGTAATACAAATACTCAAGTCAAAAGGAAAGGAGATAAATTTTGAATATGGGATTCTTTAATCACTGGAGAAATTTCTATGGTCCTTGGAAGGTGACTGGGGTATCTGGCCTGGACCAGTAGTAAAAAAAAAAAAAAAAAAGCATGTTGTTTTGAAAGGACATATTGTCTTCAAAGTATTGTGTTTTTTACATATATAAACACACACATATATGTGTGTGTGTGTGTATACACACACACACTGTCATGAGTGACTATATTCATTAGAAACAGTTCATCTTCATCCCTTTTCAAGAAAGTTTTTTAAAAATTAGTCTACCACTTATTTTTTTCCCTGGGGCAAATCCTATCATTTGGTCATAGAAAATATTGGGAAAATAATAAATCGCATTTCAAAAAAAATCAGCTTTATGGACAATTTTGCTGCACCAAAATCTCATTAAAAAATTGAGTTTATCCTTTGCAATTACTGTCTTGCCAATTCTATACTTCAAATCACCTCAACCCCCTCCTTTACACTCCAGTCTCTTCTCCTTTCTTCTAATCTCCTAAGAAGAGGAGGCCCTTCTCCTTACCCATGCCAACCCCCCTACCTGAACCCTTAGTCCCATCACCTCCTCTCTCCACTGCCTGTTTATCTTTTCAATAGTGTTCATTCTCCCCTTAGTTTTTAATCTCTCCTTTTCCACTGGCTCATTTATCACACCTAGGAGAAAAGAATGAAACAGAAAATTATTCCAGGATAATTTTGAGAGAATCTATTTCAAAATTGAGTATATAAACTATTGCCCAGGTATCAGAAATGCCTAGTTATCAAGTTTACCTGAACCTAAAGAATTTATTTCTTTTATGTTGCCTAATTGGCAATAAACAATTTAATTCATTCAGTTGTTTGGTTTCCATGCCAGCAGTTTAGTTTGATTCTTTAGTTCACAAGACGTAACCTAAAAACCAAATTTACATCAGGCCACCATTTTTCCTTTGTTCTTTTTGAAGGAATGAGAAAGTTGGAGGGAAAAGAAGAGAAAGATGAGAAAAGAACTAAATTAGATCCAGGTACAGTAAGAGAAAAAGTTCCAGAGCTCCAGAAAGAACATATAAGCCAGAGTAAGGTGGGAAGCATCAGAAGACTGCATCACAACATGAAAACACACAGAAAAGGGAGAGATCCAGGCAAAGACATAGAGAGAACAAGCATACAAGAGAGCCATATAGAGCTAGAGCCATATAGAGCTAGAGCCAAAGACAGAAAACTACCAAGCCACAGAAGCCCGTTGACAATGCCAGCCAGTGGTAAAGACAGGAACTAATCTAGGTAATCTCACAGTCCAAATGTTACAGTCACCTTTGCCATTAGAATAGTAAACATACTATAATTACTATAATCAATTCAAGTAATAAATCAAGCTAATTTTACATAGTGAGATCCATGATAAAATTCTTTAAAATAAATTTTTATTGATATCTTTAGTTTTTACATCACTTACATTTCTAAAATTTAGCCATTCCCTATCCCCCTTCCAGTGATACCCTTACAATAAAGAATAAACGAGATACCTCTCTCCCCCACCCCTAAATGTAACAAGGATTTCAGAACTGACTGGAATTCTGGGATTTTTAGTTCAGGACAAATATTCCCTCAAAGCCCCACGAGTGATTTGGACTATTGCCATCTGTTAGCCCAAAGGAGGGCTGAATACTTTCTGTGAATTTTAAAAGGGACATATATGATCTATGAAAGAGCAGACTGTGAAGTGGGTAGTTAAGAGTCCCCAGTCTTGCCCAGGACTTAATAAACAGAACTGGAAAGCACTGATGGCACAGATGAAACCAACAGAAGACACCAAAAGAAGAAATTGAAAGGATGGTGGAGTTGCAGAAGAAAAGGGAGAGACATTTAGGTGAATTATTCTGCATCTTTAGAAATCTCAGAACAGAGCAGTAGGGCTGAGGTGATAAGTAGTACTTACTTTTTCAAGGATGGAGGGAAGTTCAAAAAATGGTTTGTCCTCTTTCCCAACTTTTTTCCTTGCTTGTCTAATAATAGACATCCTAATATATTACAATCACCTCTTTTACCTAATTATTTCCTGTACCTACCTTGTGTTAAACAGAGAGAGGCCAAGGGTTAGTTGTTAGATTTAAAAAAAAAATTAAATTAGGGCAGACAGCCAGACCTCTGAATGTTAATAATTTTACTAATTCAGGGCTCTGAAAATGTCATTTTCCTGATTTTTTCCTCAGATCTAAACTCCATAAAACAGCAGAGAGGATATCACATAGACCTGAGGGCCAACATACTGCCCCTTGGCTAAGGAGTATGCTAAGTGTTGTAACTGAGTGTTAAAAAACTCTCTGAAGAGATAGATTAGAAAAGAAAAAGTAGTGACTAATGAAAGGTTCATAATGTATACTACCCACAGGGAGAAGATAGGCAAGGCCTGAGAATTCTGCTTTGTCCAGTCTAGTAGTGAGAAAAAAGCAAGAAAGATTGAGTACTGGTAGAACAACTCTGCCCTCCACAGCAACACCTAATACTGTTACATTAGCAAAAATAACCAGCATATTGAAAAAGAATGACATATGTAGTATTTCTCACCCATAGCCCCCCCCCCCTTGCAAAGAAAATGGGGGAGGTATCTTTTTATCTCTTTTCTTTGGAATCAAGCTTAAATAATTTAGTGCTGATTTATTTGTTGTTGTAGTTTGTTTATATTTTTATAATCATTGTATATATTTTATCCTGGTAATGCTTTCTTCACCTTGCAAAAGTTCACATGAGACTTCTCATGAGATGTTGTATTCATTCTCAAGAGATGTTGGATTTGTTATATTAGATATTTCTTATAACACAGTAATGTTCTATTACATTAATCTATCATAATTTGTTCAGTCATTACCCAATTGACTGATATCTCTTTTGTTTCCAATTCTTTGCTACTACAAATAGTACTACCATAAATAATTTAGTGTCTTTGGGACCTTTCTGTCAGTGACCTCCTTAGGTACAGGTCCACCAGTGGAGTCCCTAGGTCAAAGATAGACATTTTAGTTACTTTCTTTTAAAATTCTAAATTTCTTTCTAGTATGGCTGGACCAATTCACATTTCCACTGACAATGAATTTTTAAAATCTACTATATATATATGTAAATAGATATAGATATAGATACAGATAGAGAGAGATAGATATTATAGACATCTATCTCTCTATCTTTATATATATATATATACATCTCTCTATATATTGTTAAATATTTCCCAGTTACATGTAAAATATTTTTAACATTCATTAAAAAATATTTTAAGCTTCAAATTCTCTCCTTCCCTTTGGCCCCTCCACCCTCTATGAGAAGGCAAATGATTTGATATTGATTATACATGAAGTCATGCTTAAAGCTATTTCTACATTTGCCATGTTGCAAAAAGAAACACAAACAAAAAAAAAACACTGGAAAAACAAAGTTTAAAAAAAAGTATGCTTCAGGTGGAACCAAGATGGCAGAGAAAGGCAAGGACTCATCTGAGCTCTTCCCCAAACCCCTGCAAATACCTTTAAATAATGACTCTAAACAAATTCTACAGTGGCAGAACCCACAAAAAGACAGAATGAAACCATTTTCCAGCCCAAGACAACTTAAAAGGTCTGTCACATCTGGGTGAGAGTGGAGCACAGTCCAGCACAGGATATACCAGCACAATGCTGGCCCCAGGAAACCAGGAGTAGGCCTTAGCAGCCAATGAATCAGCAGCAGCAGCAGCTGCTTCTGGAGCTCTCAGCCAACAGAAGATAAAGGGGTCAAACAACTGGTGAAAAGGAGATTACAGGAGTCTTTTTGCTAGCACTAAGGCAGGATTCTGGTGCTTTGCCCTTCCTTGGATCAGGGTCACAGTCTTGGGTGGCAGTCCCAAGGCAAGGAGGAACATTAGCACACCAAAGCTTGGGCCACAGTGGATTCTCCTCACAGTTCCAGAGTAAAAAAGAGTGCTTGTGGTCACTCACAGACCATAGCACAGGCCAGGAGAGTAGTAAACACCTCCCCTTAGATCATACCACCTTAGAAGAAATGAAAACTTACCGGGAAGTGTCTCTGAAAATAGCTGCACAAAACCCTTGAAGCTTGGAACTGTATGCCCTTCACCCTGGAAACAGAGTCCGACTTTTATAAAGGATTAAAAGTCAAGTAATAGGCTGAGAAAATGAGCAAACAATGGAAAAAAATTCTGACCACAGAAAGTTACTATGAGGACAAGAAAGATCAAAACACATACTCCGAAGAAGATAACAAAGTCAAAGCTTCTACATCCAAAGCCTCCGAGAAAAATATGAATCGGTCTCAGGTCATGGAAGAGCTCAAAAAGGAATTTGAAAATCAAGGGAGAGAGATGGAGGAAAAATTGGGAAGAGAAATGACAACAATGCAAGAAAATCACGAAAAACAAGTCAACAGCTTAGTAAAGGAGACACACGCACACAAAAAAAAAATCCTGAAGAAAACAACTTAAAAAACAGACGAGGCCAAATGGCAAAAGAATTACAAAAAGCCAACGAGAAGAAGAATGCCTTAAAAAGCAGGACTGGCCAAATGGAAAAACAGGCACAAAAATTCACTGAAGAAAACAACTTCTTAAAAATTAGAATTGGACAAATGGAAAAGGAGGTACAAAAGCTCACTGAAGAAAAGAATTCCTTAAAAATTAGAATGGAACAAATGGAAGCTAATGACTTTATGAGAAATCAAGAAACAATAAACCAAAACTAAAAGAATGAAAAAACTGAAGACAATGTGAAATATCTCACTGGAAAAACAACTGACCTGGAAAACAGATCTAGGAGAGATAATTTTAAAATTATTGTACTATCTGAAAGCCATAATCAAAAAAAGAGCCTAGACATCATCTTTCAAGAAATTATCAAGGAAAACTGCCTTGATATTTTAGAACCAGAGGGTAAAATAGAAATTGAAAGAATCCACTGATCACCTCCTAAAAGAGATCCCAAAATGAAACTCCCAGAAATATTACAGCCAAATTCCAGAGTTCCCAGGTCAAGGACAAAATACTGCAAGCAGCCAGAAAGAAACAATTCAAGTATGGTGGAGCCATAACACAAGATAACACAAGATTTATCACCTTCTGCATTAAAGGATTGGAGAGCTTGAAATACGAAATTTTGGAGGGCAAAGGATTACAACCAAGAACCACCTACCCAGCAAAATTGAGAATAATCCTTCAGAGGAAAAAAGAGGACACTCAACAAGACAGAGGACTTTCCTAGATGAAAATACCAGAACCGAATAGAAAATATGACTTTCAAACACAAGACTCAAGAGAAGCATAAAAAGGTAAACAGGAAAGGGAAAACATAAGAGACTTAATAAGGCTAAACTCTTTACATTCTTACATGGGAAGATGATACTTGTAACTCATAAGAACTTTCTTGTTATTAGGGCAGATAGGAATGTATATATAGACAGAGGTCACAGGTGTAAGTTTAATATGAAGGGATGATATATAAAAAATAAAATTAAGGGGTAAGAGAGGAATGTACTGGGAGAAAGGGAAAGGATAAGGTAGAATGAGGTAAATTACCTCACATAAAAGAGGCAAGAAAAAGTTTTTACAGTGGAGGGGAAGATGGGATAGGTGAGGAGTAAGGGAACCTTACTTTTATCAGAATTGGTTCAAAGAAGAAATAATATACACA